TTATTAATGAATTTTTATTTGAGACTTGGAAGGGTCTCTTATCTAAAACTCACACGTGGTACCGGGCAGCGGTCTTTTCTATCGCCAAAGGATTTTTTTAATCGACGGTTCTCGCGCGTCCGCGTCTTGAAACGTAGGAAGTCTTAAATCTAACACGTGATAAAGTAATCGCCGCTAATCGATTTTCCGTTTCTGAAAATCTCCACGAAAGAAAAGAATCGTGGAGTCCTCAGGACGTAACACAGTCATTGTTCAATATTTTTGGAAAGCCTAAGCAAATAGTCTCGGATAGAAGCACTGCCTTCACCGCAGCAGAATTTCAAACTTATTTAGATTTTCAAGGAATAAAACACCGTAAGGTCGCAGTAGCCGCACCATAAGCGAACGGCACTGCAGAAAGAGTCAACAGATTTTTAAAATCCACTTTCGCTAAATTAATTGACAAGCCGGATTTATGAAAATCGCGTTTGACCGATGCTCAGTACGTTATTAACAATACTGTACACTCTTCGATTGCAACCACTCCCAGTAAATTGTTGCTTGGCTATGATAAACGTAATCATACAGACAATGACTTGAAGGACTTTTTAGATATTTTTACAGAAATTGATACCGTTGATGAACGAAGTAAATGTCAAGATATCGCTGTAAAGGCAACAGAAAAAGTTAAAGCTTACAATAAATTGTATTATGACCAAAGGCACCGGAAGCCCACACAATATAAGGAAGGCGACTACGTACTAATCAGAGATACACAAAACGTGCCAGAAGTTAGCCGCAAATTCAAAGCTAATTACAAGGGTCCATTTATAATAAATAAAGTTTTGAATAATAATAGATACGTGGTCACTGACATCCCGGGTTTTAATCTATCCTCCAGATCGTATAATTCGATCCTATCTCCTGATAGAATAAAACCCTGGATAAAACCATCAGAATAAATTTAAGTTAATGTTAAGATAAACCCGTTATTCTAAGAATTTATGATGTTAAGTAAAAAAGGATTTGGGATATGAGAAATCTTTGTTGAAAATTAATAATTAATCGTCGTGATATTTGTAATAAGTCAGCGCTATAAATAATTGAGTAAGTTTCACAGTATACATGTGACCCTAAGCTTTCGAGGACGAAAACCTTCTTTCAGGTTGGCCGAACTGTAAGCGAAACTCATCTGTTAGCGAAGTGCAGTTGGTACGCCTGGCTGACAGATGGCAGCGCCACTCGAGATTTATAACTCTCCCCGCAATATCGATACTATCGATCCCGGTGATCGATATCATTAGAGCAACCACCGTTGTCGCTACCGTCGACAAGTCATTGCTCCAAATCGTTGCTCCGATATTCGGAGTCGAGCCAGAAGTAGCGAGGAAAGCAAACGTGCGGGGCTTTACCTCCCGGTTCGCGCCAGCGCTCGATCAGTAAGTGTACCGTGATTCCTCTGAATCTGTTAAATAAAACTGAGGGAACTGAACATAGAGCATTTATTCGAAGAGCGTACCCTCTCTTTTAAAATCCCATCCTCGTCGCCAGTCGTACGAACGGACATCCAGACGCCGAACTAAATACACGTAGTTTCGGAACTTTATTCGCCTAAAAGAGACATCTCAGTTATAATCTTACACAAGTAACTAGGATGGAAGTAACTACAGGGACGTTCCGGATTTCCCGCCCGTACGCACATCACCATTATCTCTTGCTTTGTCCGTGTTCCTTTTGTCGTCTGCCCGCTGCTCGCCGCTTGCCCGAGTCGAAGGATATCGCGCGATATTTGGTAAGTGCAATCTTTCATTATCTCTATTACAGTCTCATTTTGTGTGTCAGCTTGTTATTGCATGTAGAAAAATTGCCAAACTGCATGCGAAAGTTGTCGCGAATCAATCTAACCAATTTCGTGCACCTGAAAAGAGTTTCATGAATCAATCGTTTCGAATCTGTCGTGTTTCTCTTGCGCGTATCTCTCATATACGTTCTGTAAGAATGTTCAGCATTAAGACGAATGGGAATATCGTGTACGCGCTCGAGAAACACGAGAGATTTGATGATTGAATCATATCACATCTTTTCTACAGCAAAATGTTATCTGATGGATGTAAGCGATTGACGGTAACAATTGTTTTATTATTTTTAGATTTGACTTCTATTTATGTCGCAGAAGAGGATGGCGGAGGAGACCCGCCGGAATCAGGAAGGGATCCCAAAACAGATACAGAAAGAGGAGGAGCAGCCTGAGATG